CGGTTGTCGTTAGTATTTATTACCATAAAGATATGATATTGCGAATAGTTTCTTAGAACTACTATTTACAGCAATATTTGTAATTTTTTTTAGTATCTATATAATCTATTCTTCTGATTTTTCTCAATTGACTGTTTGAATGAGTTCTACATTCATGCCGTCTAAGGCTATTATCTCGTAAGTACTTTCATTTTGAAAGGCCTTTCACTTAATAAAAATTTAAGATTTTTTATGACTAAACGATTTAATATTGTAGTAATGGTTTAAAATTTTTGGGGTGGTAATCTATGTAGATTTTTTATAAAGTTTGATGTTGAAAGAAAACAAGTCACGGCCTTTCTGCATTAAGATAATGTATAACGTATAACCTACTATGGAGTGAGTTATCGCTATTAGAAACGATTCTTCTGGAATTTCGTTTTTAGTTAGATATCTTAAATACTGAGCTGGCAAGATTTATTTATGACTTACATTTGTTTTTTTATTTGGAATTAATATAAGATAATTAAGTGAGGAATGACTTGAAATGCAACACTTAATTTTATACCATGTATGAGTGTATTTATTACATATATGTATATGTATATACTAAGCAACGTTTTTCTGTGGGAAATCCAAAAACTTATATCTACCAAATGCATTGCGCACTATTCTTGAATCCAAACTACCTCTGGAACTTCTTAAATTTAAAATATAAATTACTTAAAACGAGCAAATCACTCATCAGTTAAGTATTAAACAATTCCACAAAATCGTTTATATTTCATTCAATGTGCATGTATGAGCGACACAGGTACAAAAAAAAATGATAATTGCAGAAATTATGCTGAGTCATAATTTTTATTTTTGTATTATATTTTTACCAAATTGAACACAATCAAAACCAGGAATGAAACCCGAAAAATCATAGAAAATCATATATGAACATATAACTTAGCAACAATGCTAAATAAAAAATTCACATGTAAATATATAAAGCCCATTTTTATATACATTACAGATTACAAAAAAATAGAACTTACAGAAAAACAAAAATCAGAATTCAGGTGCTAGAGCTTGGCTGCGATATTTAGTTTCGAGTTGCGCATTGTCGGGCACCACCTTGATTGTGTTCATAGCAAGAGTGTTTCAAGATAAATATAATTCATTAGCATTTCTATAATTATCGAAATAGATTTTATAATATGAGCTTACGAAGCAAAGAGATCAAGTTATGAAAATAAAAAGATTAGTATTACAAAAATCAAACGTTTTAATTCGTCAAGTTTATAAAATTTGATTTTGTGCCCAAAATTAGTAGTTAGTATGCATATCCTATTGTCAGTCTAAAGTTTATTTGGTTATTATAAATTAGAATCGCAGTACCAAGTAAGATTCTTTTTTTTTTGTTCAAATAGTGAAAAGTGTTTCTGGTTTGCGAAAAACTATAGCCATAAACAAAAATGGAAAAGACGTTTTTTTATTGCTTTGTAAATACATGAATGATTAATTAAGAATCAAATAAAGTTTTTTTCTTTTTTATATCAGTTCTATTGTTTCCCGGAAACGGATGACTGAAGATTGTAGACATTTTATAAATGCTCCCATATATATGTGATCAGAGCTCGGACAAACAAAAATGAAATGATGTGAAATATATCGGCAATAAGCATAATTTACTATTACATATTACGAATATAAATTTATACAGACAGACATATCGCGCACGACCATCAAAAATGTATTAACAATAAATCCATCTTATTGATATTATTCATAACTGTTTTCCAGCAAAAGCATAAGTGATATTTTAATATAATTGGCTGCAAATTAATAGCTACGTATGTATGTATGACCTTATATTACGACTCGGAGACTTTCAGTTAATACAATATACTTTTCGAGAACTGGTGCGATATTTTACTCATAATTCTTTGCAACTTAAAAATGTGAATTCAATATGAACATATACACACAATATAAAGTTATTGTAAGAAATTTATTGTGTGTGCGTATTTGTACACATCAAACGGTTCGTGTTAAAATTTTCATACTGTTAGCAATATTAGAGAATTCGTTTTCAAAGCAAAAATGGTTTTTAAATTCCCGAAAGTTGAGAGCTTTCCTTTTTTGTGGAGGATATATGATAACAAGGAATCATCAAGAATTAATTGTTCAAATACTAAATATTTAAACAACTATGTTAGATGAGACGTACTTTTTAGGTGAAAAAAGAAAACGCATTCAAATCTGAATCTAGTTACAATTTACTATCATTTCACCTATCTCTAAATTTCAAAAAGTGATGAAGTTATTACTTTAGCCCATTAATTTACCAAAAAAAATGTGTTTAACACATAACATCTTTTACTAATTCTCATTTGATTTAATTTAATTTTTAATGTTTTTTTTTGTAATTATTGTCAATGAAAGAAATTTACTTTAAA